TCTCCAAATTTGGTGATTTTTAATTAGAATTTTCTTATAAACAGAAGAATTAAGGATTAAGAAGGATTTTACTCCAGAATATGGACTTTTATTTTTGATGATATTTTGCTAATAATACTTTTAGTAAATATGTCGTGCAACTGTAGCTCTAAGTAAGGAAGGAGTTTTACACTGTGTGGTATAAGTACTTTTACGTAATACTATGAATACCTCTTCCACCACTGCCTCCAGAGCAGGTGTAGATGAGTGAAACATTAACATATTTCCACCTCTGAGGCCTCTGACCTCCACGCTGCCCTGTGCTCTCTCTGTGTGTCTGTCAGAGGTGTCTCCAGTTTGACCCGGACTGCACAGTGTGGAGTGCCAAGCAGCAGATCATCTGCTCCCTGAGCGAGTCGTTGTGGGATGTCTACAACTATGGCCTCTTCCAGCCTGCTGGAGACGGACGGGATGCCAAGTTCCTGGAGGAGGAGCGGGTCCTGCGAGACTACTCACAGTCCTTCGAGAAAGGGGTGCCTTACCTGGAGGTATGGAGGCAGAAATGTTAAGAAAGTGGCTCAGTGTTGAAGTATCCCCATAGCAGCAGCAGAACCCCCCCCCCCTAACATTTTGAGTCTGACATTGGAAGTATTTAAGTATTTTAATACTTAATATTATATTTTTACAGTTAACTGTTAACTTTTATTGTTTATAAATGTAGTTTTCCAAAATGAAAATGCAGTTTTCAGAGACTTCTCCACACTGCTATGAATAACAATCTAGTAGGAAATACTTGATTTATTTATTTGTTGTCCTAAAAGGTGACAAAGGTGAAGTACTACATCAATACTACAAAATGAGTGTAGAAAATATCCAAAAAGTGTTGCTACAACCCCCCAAATTCCCACAAAAAATAAAGAGAACATGGCCATGTGGTAGGTACCGCTCTCACTGAGTGCACTCTTAAAGTTACATAGATTTTCTTTTCATCTCGACAGTTTTTGTTTGTTTTTGTAGGCATTGAGTAATTCTCTAGACATTTCTCTGTAAGAAAATACAGCCTTGCTGTGATCTCCAAAACACGGTCAGAAAAAACAACAGCTGATGTACATCTTTCACCTTCTGTGACTATTGCACTGCATCATACTTTGAAATCTTACTTGCTCATAACTAAGTGAAAACCATAAGGAATGCTCTACAATTGCAGATAAATTACTTAAAGATTGTTTTTTTGTTAAAATTACCACATTCAACAAATGATTTGAAATTGAATAACAAAAGTAATATCCACATCATGAATTTAATTGAATTCTGAGCATTATGTAACCAACAAATTAAATTATATTTCCCCCTTTTTAGGAAGTGGGGCTGTGTGATGACATCTATATTAAGTTGTCATGCTGTGATACGATTATCTCACAGTGCCCTCTGGTGGTCCAGCTGCTCTAAATGTTTATGAGCTGGGTGGGGCTGAAAGAGTATCCTCCACTCAGTTTGGCTTCGAACCAGTGTTTACATTCTTGACAAGGTTCCAGATGTGTGCTGATGAGGCCATGTAACTAAACTCTGCTCCACAGCCGAATGTGTCTCACTGCTCCATATGTGTGTGTATTTATAACACGAGTAATGCCATTTTGAGTAACTTTAGTGCTTGAATTGGACTATTATTCACATTTACTAATAAGCACATTGTAGTTATTTTATTGTAAACCAAACACGCCTCTGATGCTTGAAATATGCAGCTGCTCTGTGGCTGTCTGAGGTACAGTATGTGGTTCACTTCAGCTGTCAGCTGCTAGATAAGAGCTTAGACTTCTCCTCTCATCTCCATGCTCCTCCGCCTGTAAAAGGTTTGCCGGTACAGGACTGTGATTGCAGCACATCCAGTCAGGTGGTTTTCATTGACGTGGTCTCCCATTCAGAGAGGAAGTGGAAGGCAAACCCACCTGAACTCAGTTTACTCATTCTTTGAAGGATGTTATGTTTGACTCAGTGTTTTTCTTTTTTAAATATTCTCTAGATCATATTTTTGTCTGTCCACCTGATTTTTATTTAAGCACTGAATCTATCCATCCATTGTAACCAGTTAAGCATTACTTGAGATCAAGCATTTCCCCCCAAAAAAGACAACACAAATCTGAATATTTTAAAGAAGTAAATCATGTATCTGTTCCAAAGACTGAGTGGGAGCGTGAATTTCTGGAAAGAATGAGAGAGTTAACAAGAGTAATGTTGCTTTCTGTGCCTAAAGCTGCAATGATGAAATTAACAGAATTTGCTCGAAATGCACAAGCCAGCTTGAAAAAGATTTTTGATTCCTAGCTTTGCTTCTCTTCTTAAAAAAAAAACACAATCTGAAGTACAGAATTACAGCACAAATAGTAACCTTTTTTTCCCTCTATGTATGCTATCACTGATAAACTTAGTTGTGTTGCAGTATGATGAATCACAGTTTTCACACATATCTTTTTCTGGTCCTCAGTTTAGGTACAAAACCAGAGTTTATAAACAGACAAATCTGGATGAAAAGGCTCTCTCCAAACTCAGCACAAAGGTATTTATTCTTATGCCTATTGAACATTGCTGGTGCTCAGTATTTATTTCAACTCACTGACATCTGTTTCCTTCCTCTTCTACCCCTCTTAGGCCAGTCTGAAGAAGTTCCTGGATTACATTCAGACTGGAGCAGTAGAGAAAATGGCAAAAGTCCTTGATAAAGGTCTTGATCCAAATTTTCATGACCCTGACACGGGAGGTGAGTGTGCCATAACCCTGTGTATGCTGTCACTGTGGGAATTACTTTGTGATTTGGTAAAGATATTAATTCTTTGCTTTATAATAAATCATTTTACTAGTGGTATTGTGTGATGATCCGAGGGTGGACTTTAACTTTCACCTTTCAACCTGCCATCCTCCCTGACCCCCCCACCCCTTCTGTGGCTCAGAGACCCCTCTCTCTGTGGCTGTGCAGTCCGGCCTGCCAGTGGAGGCTATCAGGGTGCTGGTTCAGGGCGGCGCTCATTTGGATTTTAGAAACAGAGATGGCTTGACAGTGGTGCACAAAGCTGTTAGGGCTCACAATCACGATGGGCTGCTGGTAAGGACTTTATAACATTTAACAGATTATTATAGGTGCACACATAGTCACTTGAACACCTTATATAAAAATGCTGAAGTGAATAAATGACCATTGCAAATGCTGCATCAAATGTGGGTGGTCGTTATATTTAAAGATGATGCATTTCACAGTGCCTTAAATACTGTAGGCATAACACTACGAGTTAGTTTCAAATTGTGATTCGTGTTCTTTTCCTTTAAACAATGTTCATGCAATGGAAATGAGAGGCCTTTTTGTGGCTCTGTTAGCTGCCTCTTGTTGATTTAAAGGCTACATATCAAAGCCATTTTTACAGATGACATTGTAAAAGTGTTTCTTTGCCAGGAAATAAGTTTCACTAATTGTAATAATAATCATAATAATATTCTTTTAATTCCCCCTGCAGCGTCAACATGCAGTATAACACTATCTGGTAGTAAATGTGAGATCAGATGTTAAATAATCAAACTAAATGGCTATATATACTCACCATATCTATAACAGTATACCCTATCCCTCACCGCTCGACGAATCGATTACAGTTTCTCACAATAACAATTTCATTCTATTAAACACTGTGTTTGTATCGATCAGCAGTAGCATCACAACTAAATTAAGGCCCAGCCATACCCAATTGTCTTTTTCTTTACTTATTTCTTTCTCAGCATTTCTATATATACAGACAGAATATGCATGCCCACACACATATTAGAAAAGTAATGCTTTTCTTTTTTCCTGCCAGGTTCTTTTGTCCCTTGGAGCATCTCCAAACTACAGAGACCGTTGTGGCCTGACTCCGCTGTACCACACTGTATTGACAGGGGGCGACACTTCCTGTTGCGAGACCTTGTTGTACAATAGGGCGAGGCTGGGGACAAGAGACGAGAATGGCTGGGACGAGTCCCATCAGGTACTAACGGACAGTTCAATATGTTAGATTTATAAAGAACTCACCAAATCTATCTGTCTGTCTGTCTGTCTGTCTGTCTGTCTATGGTTTCCTTTCATATTTTCATGTTAAGCATCTCTGGTCTTTGTGCCTCTTCATGTGAACTTAAGCAATGCACCAACATTTCCCTGTCTTATCTCTGTGGTTGATGTCATGTGCCATCGCCCGTCAGTCTCTCTCAGCATTTTCTCACACCCCTCTCCTCTGTGCCTTCCTCACTCGTCTCTCCATTCTCTCTCCTTCCTCCCCTCCTTCTCTCTCTCCATAGCACAGGGATGAAGAGGAGTTTGGAATGGAAGAAATACATAAGGTACACTTCTTCCTCCCATCTCATCATCCCCACCAGCCTTTCAGAGGCAAAGGCACTCAGATTAGTGATATGAAAAAAAATGTAGTCATAAACTGAAGTGACCAAATAGTTTCCTTAAACCTGTTAAAATCTGGGTCATGTCAAGCTGAGTCCAGTTCAGAAAGAGCATTGAATATTATCTCTTTCTTACTCTCTTACTAGATATGGGTGCATTGCCTACATTATGTCTCTGTGACATTCTGGTAAATTTGCGTTTGTGCTGCGAGCCGGTTGTCATGGTATTTTATTTTGGTTTTGCCGTGCTGTGTGTTTTCTTTCTTTACTTTGTACATATCTTGTGATATTTTAGTCGCTGCAGAAAAATATGAGGAAACCTCACAGGCTGTTGAAGGCTCATTTCTGTTGTTTTAATGTTTTATGTTTCTTTTCTTTTCCACCAAGGTGCAATGTAATTGGCTCTGACCTGTTTTTCTGTAAGCGTAATTATGATCTAAATGTGGATGTAAAACATATTATTTCCCTTTCTTTCTCTCTGTATCTCCTTTGCAGTATCTTTCATCCCCCCCTTTCTTGCCTAATTCTATTGCACTAAAATAGTCCTATGTGAAATCAATCTATTCTATTTAAATGGTCTCTTTCTACACTTTTAAACACTGACATTTTGTGGATATTTCTATCACACTCTTGACATTGAAAGGCGTGTCAGAATGGCTTTGCCCAGCACTTGGAGCATCTGCTGTTTTATGGGGCAGACACCTCTTCTCAAAATGCCTCAGGGAACACTGCACTTCACATTTCTGCTCTGTACAACAAGGCAAGTAGAGAAACAGATCCCTTATATTAAACTAGTTTACCATAATTATTAGGCTGGTGTTAACCGATCACTTTCCCTCTTTGAATGACCAGGAAAGCTGTGTCCGCGTTCTTCTGTACAGGGGAGCAAATAAGGAGGCAAAGAATAAGCATGGCCAGACCCCTTTTCAGGTAAGTGATTTAGATACTGTCTGCATTTTTATGTTCATGTTTTAAAAATGAAATTGCATTTACAGAGTAGCTTTGGCTAACAGTTTTGTCACAAAATAAAAAAGAAAGAGGAGCCAACACAATAAAATAAGAAATAATTACAATAGCTACAACAATTACATCTCATTTTGCATTTTGTGTTTGCAGATAGCTATAATGTCAGGTCACTTTGAACTCGGGGAAATCATCAAAAACCACAAAGATTCTGACGTAGGTAAGTTTTAATGCCAAGTTGCCTCTTCTGAGAGGGCTATCGAGTGTTCGCAACATCTGCTTTTCTTTGTACTTGCCTGAATCTATCATGTATTTGCCCTTACAATCTCCCTTCTTTTTCCCTAACAATCTACCTAATTTCTCCCTCCATTTCATTCTGTCACATTAAACCTCACTGCCCTTCCTCACTTCTTACTACTTGTTACTCGTCACCTCTGAACCCTCACCTGTAAACCTCACACCCCCATTTTCAGTGCCCTTTTTGGAATCGCCAAAGTATGTTCCCAAGCGAAAAGAGAGCTCCCACACTCTGCCTCTCCCCTCACTTCATTCCCACCCCTTACTGCGTGCTAACAGCGATAACACCATGCCCCAGTCTGACCCTCTGGCCCTGCCCAACAAGGCTGCAACCAATCCCAACCCGGGACAGGTACTAAGGACCATTTGGTGGATGCTCATCTGCTGATCTTTGTTATATTAGATTTGTTTTGCTGATGTTGCATTGCTTTCTCAGACTTTTACGCTTATAAGTGATGGGATTAGCTTTGACGCTCTTGTCTTTATGTGACTTGGTGTGTTTCTGCAGGGCCAGCGCAGGGCCTCTATAGGCATGAGAAGCTCCAGCAGCCCCAGAACTCGTACTCGCTCCCCATCCAGAGGGAGAGGAGGCCAAAGTGACACAGAGGAGAGGCACCGACAGCCAAGAGGCAGACAGGGGTAAGGAGTCCGCGGAGGGAAGATACACTGGGTACTGGGTAAGAGAGGGAGGGTGGTGGGGTCTTATTCTGATCAGGTCCTTTAAGGCCATCTTCAAACAGGGGTCAATAATCTCCAGATGCCATCAGCTGTATGTTGAAAATTACTATTTGTGTCTCAGTTGCATACTGTATACTATTTTAAACAGCAAGAATGTGTCATATTTGATGTGTGGTATGGATGGATGTACTCCTACAAAGCAACAGAAAAAAGCTAGTCATGACCTAAAAAAGGTTTTAAAAATGTCAGTTGGAGATGTAGTAGCTGCGGCAGCAACTTTGAAAAAAAAACACGACTTTACAATAGTCTACAGCCAGCAGCCCTGTGAGGCTGTACAGTGGTAGTTTGAGCTAAATCAGTCTGCTAACATGCTTACAAGGATTTCATGTTTCAGTGTTTACAGTGTTTACCATCTTATTTTAGTGTGTCAGAATGCAAACATTTGCTAATTGGTATTAAACACAAAGTACAATTAAGGGTGATGTTAGCTTTAGTCAAAAAACAGTATTAGAAAAGTTAAAATTGAAACATGATAATGGGTCACTAAGTCACTAGGATTCATCATCTAGTAACTATGGTAACTAATATGAATGTCTGTACTAATTTTCCCAATAGTTGTTGAAATATTTCAGTCTGGACTGAAAGTTGTGGACTGACCAACAAACCCTTGTTACACTGAAATCTGTGAACCATCAGATTGGTTGGGGAAGATGCTTGGGGTTAGGGTAAGGTTATCAGGGCAGGTCAGAACTTTTGGTATAAGACTGGCATTGCCATCTCAAGATTCAAGATTCAAGATTCAGTTTATTTATATTTCTTGAGCCAAGCTTGCATGTGTGGGTAAAAATGGACCAAAAAAATCCTTGGTAATACAAAATGTACGGATGTTTTCAATTCTGAAATATTTAATTTTGATAGTATCCTGTAGTCACTGCTTGATTGACATCCACCTCCGCATGCTGTACATTACTTCTCATTAGTACATAAGTCATTGCACTAATTTTCTTGTACACTGAATGGCATTCATTTCTACCCTACATTCATTTCTTGTATACTAGGCTATATATACTACTTGTGTAGTTACTATACAGAATTGACTCACACTGACTGTGTTGGAATTGTTAGGGCTTTCTATATACCTCACATACAGTATGCACTGAATGCTAGACACTGTTAATAAATACAAAATCACAGCATGCATTTTTACTGCTGTATGAGCGATTAGTATGACTCAACTACTGACTGCCTCTGATGTAGCCTGACAAGCTGTATGTCGTCTCACTTTGTCTCACTTGTTTTTCCACAGTGTGCAACACAATCTTATCTCTCGGTTTTGTAAGAGACTCTCTCTCTCTCTCTTTCTTCCTCCCTCGGTAGTGGAACCTCGGCGGGCAGTGGGGGAGGTCAGATGAAACGTATGTACAGTGCAGTGCCAGGGCGGGTTTATGTGGCCACTCGTGCCCACTCTGCTAGTGGAGACAGAGAGCTCTCACTTAGCAAAGGGGACAAGGTTAAAGGTGAGATACAGCCTACATTTACAAATGATGAAATATGAAAAAGATATGCCAATTTAAACACTAAAAACCAGCTATTGGTGTTGGAATCATGTTGTTTGACAGTTAATTAGCTGAATGTTTCCAACTGCATATATTTGGGTGTAATGTTAAGATACTTCAAGTATAGCTGCAATACAAATTGATGCAGGAAGAAATGTAAGCTACTGTATCTAGCAAGGAAGAGATGTACATGTGGGAAAAGAGTATTGTAAACAAGAGAAATGAGAAGCACAAGCAGTCATATCCGGTCATCACAAAGCAATACATGTTTTTATCCATTCTCAGTGGATTGTACAATGTTATTATAAAATGGTAGCTGAAGGTAAACAGTGAAGGTTGAGGGGAAGATGTATAACAGTGTTTGTGGCAGCGGATTTACCACCCAAATTAAATTCTTTCTATTCTATTTATCTGTCTCAGTGTTAAGTGTAGGAGAGGGAGGATTCTGGGAAGGAACCGTGAAAGGTCGTACTGGCTGGTTTCCTTCAGATTGTGTGGAAGAGGTGGCGGGTCCCACCAAAGACAATCGATCAGGTAACACAAAACCAGTGGAACCCTCACCTCACTATTTTAAAATATTGTTCTGTCCACAGCAAATGTTTAGCTGTTTTTAGAGTAATTTGTGGTAAATAATCGAGAGACTTTTTGAAACAGACCTACAGTAAAGTTATATTTAAAAATGTTAATAGGATTTCTATCTTATTTTTTAATTATTTGTGCATAAAATGAAATAAATGTATTACTGATTGTTTTGAGATTAGTTAACAAGACACATAGCAATCATATAAAATAACACATTGGTTGGAGAAAGGGCATGCTTTAAATGGGTTACATACACCCCCAGGCTGGAATTATCCTTTCTTAGCACATGTCACACTCATGTTTACCAGCAGGCCCCTTTTCAGCAGACAGGGGCACATGTACAACACAGACATTCACTTTTCTCCTATTTTCACAGCTGCACTGTTCACACGGCAAGCCAACCGTATGCCACATAGAGGACACGAAAACAGGGCATAAATATATTTGATTTATTTAAGTGTCAAACTGACAACACAACACTTCTGCAAAAAGACAGAAGGTGTCATGACAGAAGCTGAAAGTTTAAATTGAGCATATGTTTTGCCTGCATGTGCCTTTCAGAGACGCGCAGTGAGAAAGCCAAGAGGAAACTTTTCCGTAACGTTACTGTCGGAGCCTACGATGGCACTGATGGCCCCAGGTAAGAACTGGAAAGTGTAAATGTGAAGGTGAGTGTGTGCCGAACTATACCCAGCTTCTCTACCAATGCATGCTGGACCTGGCCCCAGCCCCTCGCAATCCTGAACTGGATACCAGTTTAAAAAATAGATGGACAAATAAAACTAAAATAAGCCTGATTGGCTGCAGTCTTGTCACATGAGTGTGGGCGGCAACTGAACTGCTCTCTGGTTTATTACTGTATGGTAAGACTGCGAGGCCAGTCGAGGTGATTGAAATAGTTGACACTCTCTTGTTTTGCAGGTAACAGTAGGTTCTTGTATGTGTGTGTATGTGCTCACTTGTTTCACCCATTGTGCTTTCATGTCTTCCTGTGTGTCATATGTGTCTGTTTTCTGCTGATCCTGAACAGTGGTTGTTCTCTATTGTTTTGCCGTGTGAACACGTCAGCGCTGAAAGCACAAAGAGCAGCCATGTCATTTTCAGCTCTGCCCCTTTTTGGCTCCACCAGACAAATGCACTTGTCTCTTTGATACCTCCATCCACACGCCTCTCTCGCCTCTCTGGTTGCTTGTTTACACTGAACACAATAATGCCATAATGAAAGCTGAGGGGGGGTACTTCTCCTCCTTCATGACATCTGTCTGAAGCTGCAGCTCAGCCCTAGGCAGCTGCAACTGTGTATTATGAAGCTATGCATGTTTGCTTGAGAGTTAATGTTCGTGTGAATATTTCTGTGTGTGTCTTTGCGTGTACATACATCATCCTCCTGATGAGTCATGAGGAGGCTGAAACACCAAGCGTTAGTTAGGTCCCTAGGCTTGTGAGAAGGACTTACCAGTCGCCACCCCAGGGTTTTACAGCCTCTTACACATTGTAGCTGACATTACCCTTGTGCTGAGCAGCTCTCACTGTCATTCAAAAAAGGCATTCACTTTAATGCAGCTACGCTTGTGTTCTAAATGGAAATAGCAGCCACTGGGGTTATATTACCTGTGCTAAGTTGGTTAAGCGTAATTGCAGCACCGTGGTGAAGTGGTGCTCAATTAAGAGCAAGGTGATCCGGAGCATGTTCCCTCACTGCAGGGAAAATGTCAATTACTATTTCAGAGAGAGATAGAGAGAGGAAGAGTGTTTGTCAGCCTGTGTGGTGATGACAGCTCTGCTTTAGAAGAGAGGAGGGAGCGAGGGAGGAAAGTTTGCGAATGTGTGTGTGTGTGTGTGAGTAAATCCAGGGTGAGAATCAGCTGTTATACACCAGTCAGAGGATGTGCAAATGCAAGCACTGTCTCTCCCTGTGTCGCCTTAGATTTATACCCATCCCCCGCCTCCCCACCCCACAAATCCAGCTCTCCATCTCCCCTTTTTTGCAACCAAACCCTCTTCCTGTCATGTACCAGCACACATACACACACACCATACACACTCTCCCTTCTGTGATAATCGCTGGTATTCTCTTTTTCTCTCTCTTTCCTTCACATTGTCTTTCTCTCGTCTGAAGTATGCGGGGTGCAGACCAGCACACTGTCTCTCTCCCTCTCATTCCCCACCTCTCTCGCTCTCTCTCCTCCACTCTCGCGGCTCTCTCCGGCTGAGCTCTCGCTGGAAGTCCGGGAGGAGGGAGGAGGGAGGAGGGGAGGAGGAGGAGGTGGTGGAGAGCGTGCGAGAGAGGAGGGGGGGACATGGCAATGGGGGGATGCGGAGAGAGAGATTTCTCTCTCTCCCTCTCTTCTTCGTGGCCGTCACTGGGCCCCAGAAACAGGAGCGTGTGGTTCATTTACAGGTAGCGGCTGTTTCCTCATTCATTGGCTGGCTATGGATGTGAGGAGAGGACAATGGAGAGAGGGGAGAGGTAGATGATGCTATTGAGAGGCCGTGCCTTTTCAAAGACAGACTAATAAGCTATGTATTCTGTGCGTGCGTCTCTGAGTATGCGAGTGTGTATATGTGCGCGTCTTAAATTTGTATTTTTCCTATGCATGTGAATTTCGGAAGTGGCTATTGAATGGAGACTCTGCAGCATGTTTATTTCTGTGTCTTTCTCCCGTGTGTCTCTGAATGCTGTGTGCGTGTGTGTTAGTGCATGAAAGGGAGCACATATTGATGCATTTCAGTCAGACAGTGTGGGTGTATTTCATTCTCTTTGAGTCATGATTTCTTTAAGCAGATATTTTTCATTCACCAGGACTTTCCATTTATTCCTGTTCCTTTAAAAATGCTATTGTCACATCCCATTTTTTATGTGTCCCATTGTATCATTAAAAATGTCTGATGTTTTGACTGTATTGAAGGATGAAAGTGAATTATTCAATAAGTGGCAAGAGTGTGGTTTATCAGTTCCTCTCGAGCTCTAATTTGAGATACCGGTCATTTCTGTGCATGTGTGTGTGCATGCATTTGTGTTTATGTGTGTATGCATGCGACTATATAGTCTGAATAAAATATATGTGATTTTCACGTATAAGTGTATACGTCATAGTGCTTGATTGCTGTGGGAGTATCTCTCTTGTACATATATTTATGTATATGTACTATTTATCTATCTACCACGTCCTCATCCATAGTGTGTCACTAACATCCATCAAGTGCTTCACTTGTGGTGTGTGGGTATTGTCCCCACATAACCAGCCTATATGCATGTTCATTCGGCAAATGAATGGTTAAAAAGCTGCCTTTTTTCTCAGTAATTGTGGATAGAAGAGAGGATGACTCAGGAGGGTACATAATAACTCTGGTCTCTAGTAGACTTCCAGCTTCATTGCAGCCAGTTCAGAGAGAGTGTCCTACTAGCCAACAGAGATTAACCGGGGATGTTTGTACTTATTATGATCAATGTGGTGACAGATGAGTATGTGAAGGAAATCAGCGGGGTTACTGCAAGCCAGCTTGCAACACAACTTAGAACTACCTGGAGGACCAACACAGGCCATGTTTCCCCCTTGCAGAAGTGGATGGATGAAGAGCCCGATGGATCCGTCCACCCACTCCGTGTTACTTTGATCCTCAGAGAGGGAAAGCATGATGGAGGACAGGGTGAGAGAAAAAGGAATGAGGTGTGAGGAGCAGATGGCTGGAAGGCGGCTGTGCGTTGGCGAAACAGTAACATTGATGGAGAACACACAAGGGATGGACCTCAGTAGGGGAAACTAGCGATCGTCTGTTCAGTGCTAAAGTTATGGCTTGGTGTCGAAGTCTGGATCTTCAGGCCTGTAGGCCAACGCTCATGACTCTACTGGACCTCTGTGATTCCACAGTCAAACTTTATTATATGCTCTGCTGGATTAGATACACAAAACCTTGCTGGGTCTGTGCTGTAAGAGACAGTGTGAAATGTAATATTATGCTGTTATTGTTATTTTAGTGCCAGCATACACATGGGTGTTTCAGAAGTGACAGAGGCAGAATGAAGTCGGAGTGATGGGTTCCTCTGCCAGACATTAAAAAATTCAAATGTGCTGCCTAAAACCTAAAAGTAAATCCAAATGTCTGAAATTTTGAATGATACATTGAGTTTTTCTACGTGGTTACATGCCCAAGTTACCCTGATGAATGCAGACCTTACTGCCAGGGAGCCAATGACATTGTTGTGTTTAGGTTACAGATGATTAAGGTCGGATATAGTGCCACGGTTTTGGGTCTGCTGACTCAAGCAAAGGAGGCAGATTTGTATGCAGCCTGGGAGTAAGAAGTGCCTGAAATATTTAACTCAGGGCCCAAAAATATAATTTACATTTGCTGCTTCTCATGAAGTTCCCGGCATGAACACACACACACACACAATTCACACAAACGTCCCATTAAAAAGGAATAGGGGCAAAAACAGTTCCCAGTGGAAATTATGTCCTTGAGTATACCCAGAGCATTTTTACTGCATTGTTTTGGCAGGCGAGCTATCGCTGTAAATTAAGGCAAGTCTTTGAACAGGATACTTGTCCTGTTCAGCCCTTCTAGGAAATCAAATACTTTGATTTGTCAAGTGCCAGTTTGAGTTAAGTTGAGGAGCACAAACTAACACAGAAATAAGCTGCCTAGGAAAGAAATATCTGTAATTCCTCTTAAATCATACAACTCTGCTCAAGCCCCGGGCTCTCCAACAGAACCAGGGTGAATTGACATTGTTAGAAAGTCAAGTCCAGAAATGAGTCATGAGATGTGGCTGTGTGTGGCAGTGTGGAGTCCATTTAACTGGTCCTATATTAGAGAAATGGCTGTAAAGCAGCTTGGCCAAACGTCCCAGACATGGTAATAGAATAATGAAGGAGCTTGCTGGGCCAGCTGTTACACTACTCCAACAGTCTCATAATAAGATTGCATCACCAATGTCTGTGATCGCTGTTAGTCTTTGAGCAAGAGGGGCTGTTTGCGGAGGGAGATTAGAGGCCTGTCCAACTTCTTCTTGTACATAATTTGAAGTGTCATGTATGACCAGTAGTGGTGCGCTGGAGTCGGTAAAGCAGTATCCTTGCAAAAGCTGCCAGAGGCGGTGAAAGCTAATGCAGCGATTTAGGTGCATTTGGAAGTTTCCATTATCAGTGAAGTGTATGTGCACATTTTTCTAATGTGCCGTTCCCCCCCGGCCCAGTGCTTCTCAGTTCTTGCTGGATTAGTCCATAGTATGGAACGTCATCTCATATACACTTTCTCCCATTGTGACACTAACTGTATCCCTGCCATCAACCCTTTTGTGCACCAGCGTTTTTTGTATGACATTCTCAAGCCAACCTATCTTTTGCTGCAGTGTGATTTCATAATGTGATGCAGTATAGCTGTTTTCCACATTCAGAAAATGCTTTATTTGCATGACAATAAGACTTTTCTGTTACTATAGAAGTCATATAGCTCTCTTCCTCTCCAATTTTTTCTCTCTTTTTCTGCCTGTCTCTCTCCATCCCCTTTTCCCCTCTGCTCCCTCTTTACTCTCTCTAAGTGACTACATCATTAAGGAGAAGACAGTGCTCCTACAGAAGAAAGACAATGAGGGCTTTGGCTTTGTGCTTAGGGGAGCCAAAGGTGAGCCTCTTTTCTAAAATTCTCAAAATCTCATATTTTTCTGTCTCTACAGATTTCTCAGTCTCATATGCTCTTTTTCTCTCTTTTAATCTCCCTATCCCTCTCTTATTTTTAAACCCATGCTCTTGTTATCCGTGTCCACTCATGCTCATCCCTTGTGTCTTGTCCTCTGCAGCTCAGACTCCCATAGAGGAGTTCACTCCAACGCCAGCGTTCCCAGCGCTGCAGTACCTGGAGTCTGTTGATGAGGGGGGCGTGGCCTGGAGGGCGGGCCTGAGGATGGGGGATTTCCTCATCGAGGTAAGGACAACATACATTTTCAACTAACGGACACACTAAACCTGACATGGAACCTAATCTGAGGTCCTGAGTTTTACTAGCAACACGCTGTATCCATAAGCCACATTCAAGTAAAACATTAAGTGATGTGATACTGATTCACCTTTCTGGGTTCATGTTGTTTGGTGGTGTACCAAACAGGAAGAACTCCAAGGTAAAACAGACACTACAAATGTTACCACTGACAGAGCTTTGATGGATCATCGTGCAGCAAGTACAACAAGCTACAGGAAGCCTTGCAGTAAATACCAATTTAATAAAACACAGGGCCACATTTACTAAGAAAATGGTATTGTGCAAATTAATGCTGTGGTGTTCATTGAGTTTGAATCCGCAATCTGTATGTATTCAGCGCCTATTTTACAAAGACAGCAGCTCAATACACTCATATTCTGGATTGTGCCTGGTACTGAACCTCGAGACACACACACTAAAAGAGGGCTCATAGGGGGAGTTTAGAGGTGAGGTTTCTCTGAGATTGTTAACCTCAGAAAAGAAATTATAATGTAGTGACCTTGATTACAAATTATTTACTTTGGTCAAAAGCACCTCAGTAAAAATGTTACTGTTACTCAAAATATTATTCATAAAATGAAATCATAATCTTAAGCATCTATCTAATTATTAATACTTTAGGAGGCAGTAAACACATTCATGGTAAACAAAAAGGAGATGAAATATGAAAAGGTAGAGTTGGTGTTGATAAATATATATATATATATATATATATACACACTGTATATATATATATAGGTAAATGCACACAAATACACATTTAATTCAGGTTTGATGAACACAAACCACAACTTTCATTCATCCACCATTTGTTTGTGTTACAGTAATCAGATACCGGTATTTGATAATAACCTAATTTAATGCACATTTCTTTTACCATTACAATCTTCCTTGTAGCTTATCCCATCCCATCTGCGCTGCGTTTTTGCCTTAATGCAAAACTGAGATAAATACTGTGACATCAGTAAATGCAGCAGAATATATAATTAACCCCTCTTAACATATTCCTATTATTTGCGCGATCCTTCCTTAAAAGAGTATGCAATGAGGAGAGAGGCGCACCTTACACAAATGGATGCATTATATGCAAACTGCAACTCCAGCCTGGTGTGTTTGCTTAATAAATACAGCACATGCTTGGGGCAGACGGCGTCACAGCACCTGAAAAACAGGCGCAAAAACGTTAGTAAATCTGGGCCATAATGTTTTGTGGTAATTTTTCTGGGTATATTTTTTTTACTGTTTCTAAGTGTATACTGTATATATACTGTGTAATGTATGTAATATATGTATGTAGTGTATTTTAGTCAGAGGTGGCGAGTGGTTGCTATACTTGTGACTGGTGTTCCTCATCGATGAAGCACTAACAGTACAGGCAGCAAATCTTTAGCCATTTTCTACCTTTAAAGGTTAAACTGAGAAAACTCAGTTCTAAAAATGGTGATTGTCAGACCTCTATTAAAGCTGACACATACTGCTAATTAGTATTCAACCTAATATGAGTCACTTATGTAGCTGCCCAATCCTTTTTGATTTACTGTAGTCTCTGCCTGAATTTCTGGTGCTCTCGTCCAAAACACTGCAAAATGATGTTAGAAACCTGCAACAACAATTGCCAGACATGGGAAAGCTGCATTACCAAAGTGAACCAGTGGTCACAAATAGACCCTTGTTATGTTTTTGTGTCCACCCCCTGTAAGAAGAATTGTTACATAATTGTTAATTGTTTCATTTAAATCAATATTAATGCAACAAATCATCTCATCCATACTTCTGTGTTTTTGTGCCTGTCAGGTGAACGGCCAGAATGTGGTGAAGGTTGGCCACCGACAGGTGGTCAACATGATTCGACAGGGCGGCAACAGTCTCATGGTGAAAGTTGTGATGGTTGCTCGAAACCCTGAACTGGAGGACACTGCTCGGAAGAGAAGTAAGAGTCACATTTTCCTTGTATGTCATTTCCATCCCATGTTTATGATGTGACGATAAAGCTGATTGCATGTTTACTTCACCTAAAAGCCTATTGCAATGTGGTCGTCATTGGTGACTGCATGTTTATATGAGAATACTAAACATTAAGTCTGCATTTGGCTGGATTCCCTTGGCAGCCCCGCAGCAGACTAAAAGACTGACTCCTCCTGCCATTGCCCTGCGCTCCAAGTCAATGACATCAGAGCTGGAAGACATGGGTAAGATTATAAAGGGGACAAAGGACTGAATGCAAAGAATAAAGAGGAGGGGAGGTCTGGAAAGAATAGTAAAAAATAAATTTGATTTTTTTTTTAGGGGGTCAGATTTGAAATAGCTTTAGGTTAGCAACTTCTCTGCAGGATAATGGTACAGTACTATGGCACTATTAGGGAAACACAGCATTAAATATTAACAGAGTTGAGCCAAGAAAGTTATCCAGTATAGGTGTGATTTAATTTTTTCATTAGCAAATAGTTTGATGGGGAAGGAGCTTTTGGATTAATTTGCACTTTTGATATTACCTTTGAAGAAGAAAGGTGATAATTTAACTGTTTAGAGATATAAAAGCAATTGCATATTGTGAAATGATACTTGTCTGATGTCATCAGTCACAAACTGCTCTTTGTTTCTTTTTCTTATGAACCAAATGTGCTGCAAACAGTGGACAAAGGTGGGAGAATAATGGATTTGTGTGTTCTCATTATCATTTCCGTCCCAATCACCATCCCTCTCATCACACCAGTATTCACACCATCACATGTGTCTGAGTATGTACATTTCATCCTTTCATCTGTTTAATACACATGACTACACAGCAGTTCTAGTCACACCTAATTTCTGTTTCCCAAATTATGTATGCTACAGCTGCATCTCCATGGAAAAAGAAAGCAGGTGATTATCAGCCTTTATCATTACCCCTATCAGCCCCTGAGCTTTAATTAAAAGTAAGCCTGTTTGATGCTCTTTTTTCTCCTCCTTTTCAGAATACGACTCCTCTCAGGGTCCTGATAAGAAGAGGACAGTCTATCAGATGGCACTAAGTAAGAAATCACTCTCACCGCTCTTGTCATAGTGTAAAAGGGTGTTTTTGAAACCTTGAGGGGACAGGAGAGGGCTCACTGAAATCCTCCTTTTCATGTTTCTGCCTTTATTTGATGCTCCCTCTCACTACCTCTCTACATTTCTTTTTTGCTCTGCCCCTGTTTGGTCTTTGTTTTAGATAAACTGGATGAAATCTTGGCTGCTGCCCAACACACTATTACATCAGACAACCAGGGCCAGAGGGGTCATGGAGGCAAGAGGGACCGGAGCAAGAGCATTGTTCCTAATGTCTCCAATGAGGTACTGTTGGGAATTGGAAGGAAATTGTCCTAGTTTTGGTCGTTACTATAACTTGTGGTCCTGCTGGCTTTTAGACTTAATTTCCATATCTGCAAAATATAAAAAAATACTGAACAGTTATGGACCTGTCTCCCAGCCATACCAGATTTACATATACAACAGAGCTTCTACGCTGCTTTAGGATGTAGGATGTATCACATATTTAGTCATGGAAGTGACTAATGCTAGCAAAAAATGATTCCCATCTATAAAGCGGTTTGGTCTTTTTTTTAGCTCTGTGTTCTCCTGCCCTCTCTGCACTTTACAGAAAATGATTGACAATAGGCCACCCACACTAAAACATTTGTTTAAGTTGTGAGTCAGGTTGTGTTCATTCATCTGTGCCGTTGCCTGATACGCTAACACTCGGACAGACTGGTTCTTCTGTTTTGCATTATACTGTATATCAAATCAATCAGCTTAATAACAATACCAGCCAACATAAGTTTCACTTGATTATATCTGAGTAAATGTTCCCTCTCCTGTCTTTACACCCTCCTTCCTTTCAAATTCTCTTTTGCTCCCTTTTCAAACTGTGTTTCGATGCCTGAAGCAACCCTATGAGCAGCAGTCATCAGTGAGTATGGGGCAGCACGGACCGGGTTTTGGCTACAACCAAGCTCATTTTCAACCAGGCCACAGTCAACATGCAGTCATGATGCGTCAAAAATCTATTGGTAACAGCAATTTTCATGGAAAGATTTTTGCCTGCTCACTATATGAGTATCTGTTTGTAACTGCCTGCATCCTTGTTGTCAGGTGTAACAGAGGAGGAAAGGCAGTACCTTCACCCACCTGCCATGAAGCTGGCTCGCAGCCTATCAGTGCCGGGACCAGAAGAAATCCCCCCACCACCTAACACATCTGCTCCAGAGCCACCTTTATCTGCAGGCCCGCATCCTGGGAGGGGGCCTGCTATGCCCATACCTCCAGTATCTCAAGCCCACTACCAGCTCCACAACCAGCCAGGTCATTCTACTCAAGCAGGCTGGGAGAGGGGAGCACCTGGTGGGATGAACCAGCAGGTCATGGTCCCCACCCTCCGCAGACAATCAGAAGGACTGTGTGTCAGAGAGCCAGAGGCACCCAGGAGAGGTGGTGGAAAAATGGGAGGCTTAAGGAGAGGCTACAGCAGCGCTACGCCACCAACAAGTGCTAAGCCTAAGGCCCAACAAGCACCGCAACACCCACACATGGCTAACCGGGAGCAGGGTGGAGTGGTTGCCAAGGGGGGTGCAAGGAGGGGTGGTCGAGGAGCTCTGATGAAGCAGTCAAAAGTGGAAGATGGGCTGAGACAGCACAGAGGAAAAGGAGGTGCAGCCAAAGAGAAGAGCTCCATCCCCATCCCCACCATCATTGTCAAAGCACCCTCCACCAGCAGCAGCGGACGAAGCAGCCAGGGTAGCAGCATGGAAGCTGAGCCCTCCCACGATGCAGAAGACCACAGCTCAGCAGAAGCAACATCTGACAGCCCCAATACCAGTCTACCCTCACCACTCACCCCCTTGCCACCCCAGCCCCCTACTTCCACTTCCTTGCCTTCATCAACTGTTGCCCCATCCGTTTCCTCACAGCAAAACCTAGAACACTTAGAATACACTCCAACATTTGGTACGTCCTTTGGAGGAGGGGGAGGGGCACGCAGGGAAAGGGAACGTTTCCGAGATATGAGAAGAAAGAGCGCCTCTTTCTTCCTCTCATCTGAGGAGGACATTCAAGGAGAGGCAGGAGGAGGAGCAGAAGAGGGAGGGGGGGCACTAGGGGCAAGAATTCAGCCTTTACAGGGCTCTCAAATGGAAGTGCCCACCCCTCGTCTACGGCCCTCTAAGTCTATAGATGAGGGCATGTTCTCGGGTGACAGCTACGTCAACTATTCCAGCAGCATGCCCCCAGCTTTTGGCCTGCCTGAGTATTCCTCCCCTGTCCTCGGTCAGGATGGCCAGCCCAAGTCAGCTCCCTCGATGTACGGTACTCAGCCCACTACTACCTTCATCCACCCACTTACAGGGAAAGTTCTGGACCCCTCGTCCCCACTTGGTCTGGCCTTGGCGGCAAGAGAGAGGGCCCTAAAGGATGACCGCAGGACGCGCAGAGAGGAGAGACACTTTGGTCGGCAGCTGTCCACAGTAGGAGCGTTCCCTACCCCTGTTCAGACCCCAACTCCTTCCCTTTTTGCCACCCCTACACAATCTGCCTACACTTCCCCAGTGTCCCTCCACCTAAGCTCCCCCACTGCCACCACCTCACCTGCATCTCTGAGCCGGCCACAGTCACCAAGGATATTACGTTTGGGAGGTGGAGGTGGGGAGAGGATGGAAAGAGAAAAGGAGGGAGGACCCAGGGAGGGTCTTAGAGTTCGCTTCTCAGAGGACAGAACCAATCAGTATTCAACACAGTATTACCCACAGAGCCCCAGGGAGAGAGAAAGAGAAAAGGAGGTGTACGACACCAGACCTGCTCAACCCATACAGCCTCCTCCACCACCGGCTCAACCTGCACCCCGTAGACCTTCCTTTTTGCAGATGGAAAGCACTCCCCACACCAGCTACATCCCTCAGTACACTGTACCCACAGCCCCAGCACAGACACATGAAGCTATGGGAGAAGCACGAGCAGGGTCGAGTGGAGGTTTAGGACTGATGGTTCTCCCTCCACCAGCTCCCTCAATAGATGCAGATGATGAGTTTGTCTTTGTAGACCCCTTGCCCCCTCCTATACAGTTTGCTAATGGCAAGAACGAGAGAGTCCAGGAGTTTCCTCGGCAGCATCAACACCCGAGCCAACACTCTGCTGATGTTGCTCCGCCTCCTCCACCCCCTCTTCCATCTGCCAAGCCTTCAAACGCTACCCAGGCCTCTCCACAGGGAGGTGACTCTGCTGCCTCCAGCCTCACCTCCTACGACAGCGAGGTGGCCAACCTTACGCAGTCAGCTTTCTCTCCATCTTACCCGTCCCCACATATATTTCCCCCTTCCTCAACCACTACCACCACCTCTACTACGGCTTTGCCTGCCACATCGCTTCACAGACCCCAGCCCATGTCCCATACTCACCCTTATTACAGCAGCTCTAACGACTCCTCAGTAGGTGGTCACACCCCAGCCCAAGACAGAGGCACAGCTGCCCTCACCGCCACCATGACCTATGCTACCACAACCATGACAGCCTCTGCCACCGCCTCCACCACCACGACCTCACCGTCGTCCTCTGACTACAGTTCGACCATGGCTGGGCCCAAGGCTGGGCTCAGCACAGGAGGTAAAGCTGCTGATCATACTCATCACCCTACTATTATACCCAAGAGCGGAGACTGGCAAGATGCCGTGGTGGATTCTGGGATTGAGGAGCTGGACAGTCACAGCAATAGCGACCACCACTTAGAAATGCTGGGATTGAGTGGGCTAAGGGGAGAGAGGGGAGGGATCGGAGGCGATGGGCGAGGGGGAGAGGGAGAGAGAGGAGGTGAGCATCAGGATCCTTGCACAACCTACTCAGGTGGGCAAACATTTGAGGTGCACAGCGCCAAACTGGCAAACCCTGTGTTTCCAAAGATGACTCATTACAAGGAGGGCGGAGGGAGGGGCCTGCCTGTAGCACTACGTAGGCAGAACAGCACCAACCCTGCTCCGTTGCAGTTGCAAAGACAAAGCAACCCAGAAGATGCCAGGTTAGATGGAGCTCTAGCAGATGAAAGGAAGCACAAGCAGAGTCGATCCCAAATGGAGGACGGCTTTAGTTCCGCTCTTGCTGCCTGCTTAGAAAGGCCAATGGAGTCTCGGTCGGTGGGCTGGGTTGAGGTTGGGGAGCATGAGCTAGGTGGAAGCGGAATGCAGAGAGATGGTATGGTTTTGGAGGGTCGAAGGCTTCATTCACCTCTTTCGGGTGTGAAGGCCAGCATCATCAATGAGCTAAGCTCCAAGCTGCAACAGATGAGTGGCATGAAGAGCATGGATGACTGGAGCCACACTCCAAAGTCTCCCACCATTCATAGGTTTGTTTGTTTTCATCCACCAGCCCTTGATATTAAAATTAAAATTTCTGCTTCTGATTATTTTACTTAAAGCTTTTTGTTAGAATTAAAGCTCACAAGTTCATTTTGTGTGTCTCTCAGGTACTCGGCGGATTACACTGATGCATTTCACAGCCCCCCTACTGGCCGCTCCACCTCTCCATTACCCACCTCCTCCCCACAGCATCGTCAGATCCTGACACCAAATCTGTCGGCCACTCCTTCTGTCTCCCCTTCTCCTCAAGTCCCAATTCAGCGCAACTGGACCCGATCTCCATCTCCACAGATGCCTTCCTCCCCAGTTCATTCACACCCTCCCCATTCCCCGACCTACTGCCCGTACCCGACGTCACCAAAGCATCGGTCCAAGATGCGCAGGCAGACTTTTGATTTTCAGTGCAGTCCCACTAAGGAGATGCGGTCTTCGGTCGCCCGGCACCGGGCTCCCAGCCCTCTTATCTATAACACTGAACAGCCAAACCCCACCCCTCCCAGGCCTTCCTCTCTCCCCATCCTTCCCAGTACACCTGTCTACAACAACCCCTTCGACTTCCCCGGGCCCCTCACTCCTCCTTCGCCTGGCCTCCCTCTAGGAGATGGCTACAAGGCTTCAACTCCTCCATTGTTCTCCCCATCTGGTGTGCCAAGTCCAAACCCCCTACTTGTTTCCCGATCTCTCTCTCCCACCCATTTTCTCTCCGGCGCGTCCTCCCCCATGCACTTGCCCCCCAGTCCGTCCTGCCTCAACTATCCCCATCTCACCCCTCCTCCACCAGCCAAACCCTTTGCTGTCAAACCCCTGCCCTACTGGACCAAGTATGACGTGGCCGACTGGCTGGCTTACCTAAACCTGGGTGAACACAGAGAGCGTTTTATAGACAATGAGATAGATGGATCACATCTGCCTTCGCTCACCAAGGATGACTTCTTGGACCTCGGAGTGACACGAGTGGGACACCGAATGAACATCGAGAGGGCGCTGAAGAAACTCACTGACAGGTGAGGGAGGACTAATAGACTCTGGAATACGTAGAGGCAACGGGGTCAAAAGGTCAAAAAAGAAGCACCGGATGGTGAAGGAAAGTCCAAGTGTCTCATTCCTTCCATAAAAATTAGCTGGACCATCCCCTCTTTGTTCATTAGATGTATATATTTTGATAAGTTATCTCATCTTCTCCATCCCTTTCTCTTTATTAACCTGTTTTATCAACCCTATTTAGTTTGCACCGCCTTTATTTCATTTCCGCCCATTCTTATTCTTTCATTTGCCCTCCTTCTCTCCCCAGGCGGCTCTCCTCCCCTTTGCATGTCACTACTTCTCCCCGAGACACAGACTGAAAGAGTGAAGGGGTGATTCAAAGGTGAAAGAAAGGGAGAGAAACAAATTGACAAAGATGAACAATAACAGAAGATGTTCAAGAGAAGAACAGCGGACCCTAACAGGTTGTGTTGAACTAAGCCTAAGGACTGGAGGTGTGGGGGGAAGTGTTTTCTTGCAAATGTGCTATACATGTAGAGAATACTGTTTATGAAATTTCTGGAATGACTATTGGTCGAAAAAGGGTATGAAGAAATTAAGAATATCATGTGAAAATGATGCTCTTCAACTGAAAATATACTTTCAAACTTTCTATGGACAGGCAATTAATTAACACACCGTTTTGTGCTGTAAAAGACAAACATATATACACACAATCATATTCTCACACACACTGACAGATGGATTCTCACACCATCTGCTGCTTAGCAGAGCTGAGAAAACTTCAGTCTGAGTTCAAAGAAAAGTTGAAAAGTTGCTGCTTAAAGGGTAAACCCCAATAAAATGTTTCAGACTGTGGCTGAGCCAGAAGCTGCGGTGAAAGCAAACACATGAGAGTCACATCCTAACATCAGTTTTGTAGCTTTAAGCAGATCAGAGAATCAAATGGCTGTGAATAGTGGAGCCAAAGTCAGAATATGAGAGAAAGGGTTTTGTTTGTAAATGACGATAGACGAAAATGGTAGACAACAATTGTATTCTTTTTATATATTTGCCATATTCCCCCAAAGGATTCCCCAGTAAGCTTTGTATGTATGTACTTTGCGAGCACTAAATATATCTTACATGTTAAACGGGATTCACTATTAGTAGAACCATTTGTTTTGTGCTGATAGCAATCACTAATTTCAAACTGGTCAGGGTATTTATAACTGTTGAATTCAAGTTGTGCATAATGAGTTCATACAAATATTGAGAAAATATTGTTGTGTAATTACCTTTTATTATTTTCCTGATTATTCTATAGAAAGGAGAGAAATTATTGGAGAGGAATTTAAAAGAGTTTGCGTGTCATTTAAAAACTGCAAACCATCTTTTCTTAGACTTTACTGGTGTTTATGGCCATAGCACAGGTCAAGGGATGGATCCATCCTCTTTGATGCCATAATGTGGACCGCTCTCTCTCACACAGCAGGTGCAGTGATCAAAAAGGGCTTTTTACTGCTTCTCTGTCTGCCTGACTTCCTCAACCTTCAGCCTCTGTGAGTCTGTGTGTCTGATTTTGTGCGTGTGAGTGTTCGTCAGCCTGCATTGGTGGCCAAATGCTTTCCCTGACCTACACCTCTCTCTTTCTAATGCCTTTTTCCGAAATACATTTATAATGGTCACAAAACATTGTTTTTTTCTCACTAGTTGACAATCCCAACGTTTTCCTGTTCCACACATCAACCCTTGACAAGGAATATTCTGACCCACTTTTCAAAAGGTTTTTTCAGTGATGAATTTAAAGTAAATACTGTATATGTTACATAGAGAGGAATATGAATGCCCTGGATTTTTAAAATATGCCAGTTTAGCCATTCCCTGCAGTGAATTCAACTGTAAGGCAAAAACACGTCATTTATAGATCTATATGTATTGATGATGATGACAATGATAAAATATAGTATAATAAAGATAATAATATTAAGTATGTAAACATTTTTAAGAATCTTTGTCTTCCAAATAGTGTGGACAAATTCTTTGAAGCTTTGTTTTTGTTTATGTTTCATTTTGGGTTTTCTGTAAATGCTTTCTATACTGCTCGCCCTGTGGTGACCCCAGTGAAGCTGACACATGTTAGTTAATGTGTATTCTCTCTATGTGAGTTTAAAATGATGACTCTGTATTCTCCCGCTGAGTTGCCTCACTGCTATCTCATGATGGACTATTCTGAGAAGTGAAAGGACTGAGCAGTAGTGTAGAAAGCATTACATACTATGATTTAAAAGAGTATTTTAGGTCTAGTAAAATGCATAATGAATATGACTACATACAATACGAGCATAAGTATGCAGAGATAAAAGGTATATATATAAATATATATATATATAAAGTTTTGCTTTAAATAAAATACAGTATATACTGATAAACAATATGATAGAGGTACAACTAAGGTGTTGAAATAAATGCTAAAATAAACTATGGCCCTGTTGTGATTCTCTTTTCTCCTTGGATTCCCTCTTCTGACAGATTCACATAATGATCCAATTTAAAGTGCTGTATTTGAATTGAGTCATTTGGCAGCAGCTCGTCTCAGCCCTGCGGTGGTTGAACACAACATTGTTTTCAGGTCCGGGATTATTTTCCCATCAGGCTCGGTGAGCTAATAGGACAAAAGAGTAGAGCTCACGGGGAGGGAGAAGATGAGATGGCTTAATTCAAAGCAAGCGGTGGCTGCATTCATGCAGAAAACTGAAAGCGTCTGTAAGGCATGAAAAACAACTTGGAAAACAACTTGGAAAAATACTAATGTAACACTGTTTGCTAGCATGGTGGCCAATTTAAGGTTCATGGTAGGAAACTGTAAATATAATGTTGTTTTTTTAGTTTGTGCCAGTTGTCCAGGTTACCCCTTCTTTGTATGTCTGAGTCTGCTCATAATTACCAAAATTACAGATGTTGGGGCTTGTTTTTCTCTGTGGGGATGAAGCCACAAGCTGCCATTTTTCTTCTCACGGTATGAAAAAAAACATACACAGAGAAAACATCATCATCATCAAAACAAACACCAACCAAAATATGTTACCTCATTTAGTGTTTTGATGGTGGTGATGGAGAGCACTAACATGTTGGTTCAAGATCTCGATTAGGTGTTTGGATGTGGTACAGTTGTATCGAAACCGATATCAGTATTGTAAATTCCTGTGCTATTACCTAAAATGTGGTATTGGGGGTTGCAATTATTAATTAGCCCAGAAACCCGACCCTGCTACTTCCCAGCAGTGTTCTACTCGCCATTTTTTTTCTCAGGATAGCGAAGTCACAACTCGCCCTTCTCTGACTCTGACAAAGGGTTTACCTGAACCACGGCAATGATACCACAATGATAGCAATCATATAGGCTTAATAGTATACGCTTGTTCAAAAATAACAATATACTGTATATATATCTATTTTGTAATGCACAAGTATCGGATCGGTACTCTGTATCAGCTGATATGCAAAGTTCAGTTCAGGTGTGATACTTAAAATATGCTAAAGAAATTCGGTATTGGTTGAGATCTGCTGAGAGCGAAGGTCTTAGTATATTATCAGCAAGTATCTGGGTTTTTGTTTTTTTACTCAAGTAATCAGGCTTTTCGTGTAATTTGTCAAATATCTGTATCGTCAATGGGTGCTGAGCAAACAGTGGCATCTCATCATTTTGAAATGTGATTTTCCAATGCTGTGAGCACCGCAGACAAAATTCCAATCCATTGTGGTCCTGTGGCAGAGTCTAAGTGATCTCATTCCACAAACAAACCAATACTTAAATTATTGCCAATAAAATCACAAAAATATATTTTTTTAAGTTAAGTAGAATGATAAACTTACATTTCCAAGTGGTTGACCATTTTTTTAAACACATAAAATCAACTTATCTCTATGTCTGGCATCATAAAACCTAAAGGAACACATACCCACATTGATATTAAGCCTCTGCAAGTGCAAGTGAGAAACAATATCTCTTGCATAGTGGGTGGTTAAAGTAGTCTCTGAGATACTCTGGCTCTGGATGAGCTGTTAAAAATTAGTGGATGTTTGAAAAGTCTAATTATATACAGCCTTTATCACAAAAAGACTGAGAAGTATAAGCCAGATCGAGGCAGCAGGGAGTGAACTGTAACTCTGGTGTTCTCCTTTAACTTCTGGCTAATATCCAGAAGAGTAAATCCCAGAATAAGTAAACAGTGTGTGGGTGGACATGCTCTTTCTAGGCCTGACTACAGAGAGAATTGCAGGTCACAAAGGGGCACAGGGCTAATGTGGCTGTTCATGGGACACCCCACCCCTCCCTTGCTGTCACACACACTCACTAATAAGCTCACATGACTCTGTGCCACACTGACACGATTCTGTGACCAGCGAACGGTCAAAATGAAGGTTCGGCATCTCATTAGCACCATATTGAGAGAGACAGAGGGAGGGACGGGCAGGGAGAGAGAAGGAGGGGGATTCTTCCAGCTGTTTTTTCTAATAGCAGAGTGGAGAGAAAGTGAGAGGGTGACAGTCAAAGGAGAGCTAAACAGCCTGATAGGGAGGAAGCCAGTGAGTTAAGGAAGCAAAGGATGGGGTTAAAGTAGGAAACAGGAGAGAAAGAGGAAGAAGAGTTCATCCTGGCATGACTGTGAACTAGAATATCACAGCTGACGGGGGAGGAGAGCAAGCAAGGTGAGTTTCTTCCTCCCTCTTTGTTTGCCCTGAAGCCAATTAGCAGCGGAGTAATTACCATGCAAATGCTCTGGTTTGTTTAATTTTTTTTTTTCCCTTTCTGCTTGCTTGCATTGTCTCAGTGTCTCACACCCACTTTCAGATCAACAGCGTGTGTGTGTGTGTGTGTAACTTTAAGTGCCAAGGGAAAATTGGGTCAGAGAGAGAGCAGAGAGGGAGAGAAGCATGTGTTAGAGGAGGAGAGGCACACTGGGAGAGGGGGAGACGGACAGAGAAATGGAGAGAAATCCTCAGCAAGCCCCTGAACTACAGTAACAAGTGGTCACTTGAGTAATCACTGGTGTTTCAGAGAAAAATGTAAGTGCTGGTTTCTCCCAGGCATGACTTCTCAGTTGGCACTTTTTGCTTCTTACTGGCTTGTGGATGGAGGTTCTTTTAGCATTATTTTAATATGAATGCTTCTCTGTGTCAACACGAAAGGATGACCTGCTTCCTTTCCTCTGCATGCACAAGAACAGAATCAAACAGAAGATTTAAGTCAAAAAGTTGAGTCTAACCCTACCATGTTTCCACTTACAGGAGCTCATAACAAGTGAAAAAAACAACAAGATAACATAAAAATATAAGTTTGAAAACCGGCTAGCTGAAGGAAAGAAAGTCCTCAGTGAGCCTCTCTCTCCGTCATGCTCAGTCTTGTGATGAGGTGTGGTTAGTCATTTTCATATTACTCAGCCAGCAATGTGTCAACGTGTTGCCCAGACAGAAATAGGCCCTAATGTGACTGCGTCCTTTGCATGTTTGTGCACGCATCTCCCGTCTTTTGTTCAATCTGTCTTCTCCCTTTAATGTATCCGCCACTTGTGCTTTGCTCTACATGCTGTGCAAAAATGTCTGCTGTTTAGACAGTTTGTCCTTTTTAAATCCAGCATTTACATTTGTTTGCCAAATAAGAAATATGCCCCTGCTGGCTCTTGTGGTCGTGATCTCAGGGTGGAAGACAGTTGGTTCTAATAGGCCTTGCATTAGTCAGAGCAAAGGGAAAGATGACCTTTCCATTGCTGTTTATTTTGGGAAGGCAACAGGAAGAATGCCGAAGCAGCTGTTCTATTCCTGCTGGCAGAGCCCACCCCTGTGAATTCCAGTCTGCCACTGCAACGGCACTCCCCTTACTCACGCAGGGGGTTTGGATGTATCCAAGCACTGTACAGTGTAAATAACACCTCGTCAGGATCATCTAAGTTGTTATGGCAATAAGCTGAGCAACACACACACACACTGCAAGGTTTCGGCCGCCAATTATTCCCTATCAAACACACCTGCCATACAGGGGGAATAGCTCTGCTGATGAGGAAGTTAACCTACTGTATGTACACATTACACTATGTGTAGATGCCCAACCTGTTGCATGTTAATCAGTGTCACCTGTCTGCCAATAAAAGCTGTCTTTTCTTGCTTGTAACCAGTCTAGCAACTCTGTTGTGTAACACAAACAGCTATCTCTTACTTTCTGAAACAGAAACGTTCCCAATGATGGCGAGCCTTCCCAAGGAGCCGCGGGAAGATCCCAAGAACCAGAGCTTCTGGATGGTGAGGATTACATTTATGATTAAATCTAAGAAAACTGCCACCCAAAGATAGTTTATCCAAAACAGTGCTCATGTGTGTGTACCATCTTTCATTTTCCCAGCCGGGGAATCATGTGCGTACAGTGCACCGAACTGAACAGTCCTTCCAGGCATGCAATGATATTGTGGCCTGCTTCATGGAGAGAGCAAAGGTAGAAAAACAGTACGCCCAGCAGCTCAGCCAGTGGAGCAGCAAGTGGAAGTCCATAGTGGATTCACGTAAGTATGAGAAGCTGCACAGCGGCGCTTTGGTGGCTTAGAAATAGAGAACATGATTCCCAGCCCTTTTTGATCATGTCAGCTCTCACCAAGTTAAAATTACTGCTTGATTCTTATTAAATGGCTTCATCTGTACTTGTTTGAAACCCCTCAGTAAACAAATGGAGGTCATTATTTCTCTACTGGTTCCATGACTCACCCCAGTCTTTTTTTCTTTTTCCCCAGGGCCACTTTATGGCTCCCTCATGAGGGCGTGGCAATGTTTCTTCACCTCCACTGAGCGCTTGTCCGCCCTCCACTCCTCCATCTCACAGTCACTGGTCGCAGAGGAGGGGGACCGGGTGAAGACGTGGCAGAAGGAGACCTTTCCAAAAAAAATCTTCTGTGGGTTCAGGGAGAGCTACGACAACAACACAAGTTTTTCACGTGCGCAGAAACCCTGGTCCAAAAAGCTGATAAAGGTCCAGCACATTTGTCATTTAGATGAATCTGTATGTGTGTGTGTGTGTGTGTGTGTGTGTGTGTGTCTCCACTTGCTAGCTTTTTCTCCGAAGCTTTCAACTCCATCTCATCTCTTTCTTGGATGTTTTGTTATGGAGTTTGCAAACTCTATCTGCTGATGAAGGCCATGAAATGTGACTGAAAGCTCTGAAAAAAGCTAGTGAGGGGACCTTGAAGTACTGGTACTGATGATTTCAGAGGTCAAGAATGACGTGTTGTGCACAACAATAGTGGGTTTTCAGTGTGCTGTGAAAAAAAACACTTATTTCCTGTCTTGCTGAGAGTTAGATGAGGAGATTGATATTGCACTCAGTCTTTACAATAAATATGAAGCTACAGCCAGGAGGCAGGTAGTTACACATAAAGACTGGAAAAGGCATGGACACTGGAAAT